GCTAAAGAAGAGGTCCTTGGTATACTATATATTCTCTCTGTTCCATTTATATTTGATGATTTTTTTTCACACATATTAAGAAATCTTACTTATAATGTGTTCGGTAAGGATTAAAATTAGATTTTTAGTAGATTTTGATAGAAGCTTTTAAAATGCGTGGTTGAAAAGTCGTGGGACCCATGAAAGATGTGGTTAATATTGATTGTTTGACTTTGACTTAAATTAAAATGAGATTTTAATCCGAACCAAACAGTGGCTTAATTTTATTGAAAAAAATAATTTTTGCCAAAAAATTACATAGTTTACCCCTGTTTAATTATCAATAACTAGTAGTAAATTTGTTATAACTACACAAATTAAATAAGGGTATATTAGTAAATGAACAAGACAAAACATTCTCCATTAAGAAGTAGGACTATATAATTGGGACAAAAAAATAAAGAAAAACAGTCTATATAAATGGAGTGGAGGGAGTATATTCTTTGCGAAGAGGAGAAACTTGGTGGAAGCCTACAAGAAGAAAAATCATATTCTTTCAAACTTTACAGAAGCCTTTGTTACAAAACATATTCATACATACTTTCATGCATCAATTGCCTCTCTCAAGGAGATTGATCGATGTGCCATTGAAGAGATTTAGTGGATATTTGGTAGTTATTAAAATTAGATTTTTAGTAAATTGTGATAGAAGTTTTTGAAATGTGTGATTGAAAAGTTGTGGGACTCATGAAAGATGTGATTAATATTGATTGTTTGACTTTGACTTAGATTAAAATCTGATTTTAATCCAAAACAAACAGGACCTTAATAATTTCAAGATCACTTTCATATTCTTTCCAAACTTTAATTACGAATGATGTTGTATTAATCCATTATGCATTTTTATAATAACAAGATGATTGACTAGTTGTATAGACGATAGGATAACGTTGAACTCTATGTCTTGATATTACTTCCGAATTTGACATTGATGCACGTTTGGTTTTCAATGATTGTTAGGAATTTATAGCCTTTTCAATTGCTTGATCATTAGTTCAATTGTTTTGAGATTCCTATTGACATTCAATAGAATAAATAGGAATTATAGAACTGATAATTATTGTAAAGTCCGATAAGAAATATAGATATACTACTATACTTTATATGATCTTATTGAATTTTCTTGTGAAATAATGCATCTTTACATGTTCACGTCATTCATAGAGATATAAAAGGATTATATGTGAAGATAAAATTAATTTACTTGATAGTATTAAGCCCTTGTTTGATGAAAATTAAAATTTAGATTTTAATTTAAATCAAGATCAATAATTATTTTCAATAACATATTTCATGCATGGGGTTCATAACTTTTCAACCATACATATAGTTAACTTTTATTAAAATCTACTAAAAATCTAATTTTAATCCCCCATCAAATAGTGGACTAAACAAATTATGAGCAGTGATCTTTATATCCGTAAATATGTGTTGTTTGAATTTTGGAATGTTTATATTAAAATGACTAATGTAGGGGGATTCGAAATACTAGTGCATGTTATTATTTGAGTATTCATAACCACTTTTCAATTACTTAGATTAGTTATAGATTTTAATTTATCAATATAACTCATCCATCAAATCTTGCTATTTGATTAAACTTAAATTTAAATTTAATTGAAAACTATATTAAACACTTAGTTCTTGTAAAATCAATAATTGGACTCTCTTCCACTTCGTTCACATTATTACTTGTTTATAACACCGTACACTTACGGAATTTGAATCCAACATGATCTTTCACGTGACATCGACACATCATAAACAATAGGACATGAACATTGTGGAACTATTTCAATAATTTTGGACTTGAAGATTATAAATCTGATTACACCGACATACCCACTCCTGACATGATCACTCGAAATATTTTCATCTGTGAAGAAAGGACAAAAATGGACCAGTCTAGATGAATTAACCTAATTAATATATGTTCATTTCAACTCACGAGTCACAATAAACATCCAAATCCAAGCAACGACAGAATGGAGGCACCCAATTAAGGAAATCGCTTGAAATATATGTGAAAGGAACAAGACATCAAAGGATCCCACCTTGGACTTATCAAATTATAAACGAAAGGGTAGGGTAAGGCAAGGTGGGTTAAACTCATATTCATACTTCTCTTGGGTCTACAAAAAGAGCCCCAGTTGGTGAGCTTTTTGTCAATTCATGGAGGGTATTTGTCCCTTCACTTTTTAATGCTTTTATACACCACAAATCCATAGGACAGGAAAGTAATTTCCAACGGGGTATGTAAGATTTTAACTTGTCACTCCCCCCAACTTCCGTGACAATGATTTTGCAGTCCCTGGATTCTTTAGCCATGCTGTGTACAAATTTGCAGAGTGTCCTAACCAACTTTCCAGATGATGGACCTTCACCATACAATCCGTATATGAAGTAGAATCCAAAAGGGTCGAAGAAATCAGGCATTAAGGGCACTTTAATGAATGGCAATACCCTATTTAGGACTCTTGTGCTCTTAGCATGCAAGAAACAAGATAAGGGAGGTTTCTCTATCCTTAACTTGAAAAGTTCTCCACTGTTCCAAACACTTATCATGGCCCAGCTATTTGGAATCCTTCCATCTTGACCGAACTGATCGCTGGACAAATCACCTGTTGGGGACATATAGTTTAAATGAATAAGTCAACAATTTAAACAATTCTAGACGAAGAATCAATCAACACGGGGTAATAGGGAAGACGAAAGTTTGCTATCACTTATTTATAAAAACTGTGCAAACGTTAAATCTTCAATTAAAATTAATAACTTGATGTGGACGTGACAAGGAATGTTGAAAACATAATTTGAACGAATAAATGCATTTAATTCGTGACAATTTAAATGTTTAGATGGGGTGGTCGAACATCACCATCGTGAAGATAGGCAACCCATGTGCCCAAGCTCAGCTTGTTTTTCAGTATTTTGTCTATGTCATGAGGGAAGAAGTCAGCGGAACTCATGAAATTCCTATACAATAACTCAGCTTGATCAACCTCGAGCTTCACTATTTCGACATTCGACGGACAGGAAAATTGGCCATGATCGATGGGATGTACTAGAATAGCAGGAGTTCTGAATTTGACATAGCCAAGCTTGTTTACAAACAGCTTCACTGAGGCTGCATTGTCTTTTTCAGTTGCCATATAAGCATAATCAACCTCATTTGATATGAACCATTCTTCTATATGATGCACTAATCTTGAACCAATCCCTTTTCTTCTATGATGTGGAGAAACCCTTAACCCTAAAATATAGCCCACTTTCGCAAGGTCTTTTGGTGGATTCGGAACTGTTACAACCTTTATAGAGCCTTGAATGACCCCAACTATCTCATTATTCAACTCAGCCACCTAAAAAATAAGTGAACTTTAGCACATTTGTTACGATGTATTGTATACCTAAAATATTTTTCTTAATACTGTCAAGTACTGTCCAATCTTTCGTACTACATATGATAATATTATAATGTTAAAAGTAGTGATACGTACCAGCATATTGTACATTGGGCTATTACGAATTCTACAAATGGGGTCACCCATAGTATCTGTGAAGAGAAACACATGCTCAGCTGGCCCTACCTCACATCTTCTTTCAAGATCTTCCATTCTGACTCTATCTAATTGCCCATTGTAGCTTCTTATCTGAATCTTCTCATCAAATGCCATTATAATACACATAGATGCATATATTTAGTATATTTACCCCCACCACACTCAGCACAAAGAGTGAAAAAAGAAAAATAATATTTAGGGTTTTTTTTCCAAGATTGCAAGTTCTCTGCTCTATAACCCTGGAAGCGCAGCTCTATAGCAATATATAGTCTATAACATATATACTTACAAACATCCTATGTATAGATACATATCAGAATCAACCTCGGCTTCTGGCAATGATGAGAGACAAAAGGTGGTTAATTATGGAATGTGTTTTTTGTCTTTAGCATTTGTAAATTGTATTCCAGTTAATAATCTATTCCACGTTAGGATAACCTCAGGCTCACGACATGATGCACGCCTAAACATATGCATTATAGGTCGTCTATCATTCGACATTAGCCATAATACTTTTAATTAACAAATTAAACCACTATTAATTAAATATCATTTGAATTGTATCATACGTACATATGTATATACATTGCCCCCACAAACTGAATTAATCCATACCTCAATTATAGTCAGCAACGAATTTTGCTATTTGTACAACGTAGAATGACAATGTAGTATGTTGGCAAAATATAATTGGCTGCAAAACGATTTTTTTATTTAAATTGTCTAATTACATAATGACACGTGACGTTGTGTAAACAATGTCATCCAAGTTGTACAAAAACAATCATTAGCTGGCAAAACCCATAAATATCAAGGTGTGTAATCATATATAAATTGATTATTATTATTATTATTATTATTAAAAATTAATATTATTTTCTTGATCGTGTTTAGAGTTTGTTCGAAGAGTTACGAGAAAAAATCCCAGTCCACTCGCACTGATGTTTCGTTTGTACTATATTATTATATATTGCTTTGTATTTGGACTCGATTGTGGTTTTGAGTGGTCCCTCAACTATAACACTTAGATTTGGAAATGAGAGAGAGTGAGAAACACCATTATAAACTTGTCTTGCATTAAGCTAATAATAAATCAAGAATTAATGATGCTAATGATAGACCTAACTGATTAAGCACCATTAGAGAATATATACTATTTTCCACATTGTAAGTAGAGATCATTTCCAAGCTGTATATTTATGAACTTGGAGTTACTCAGCATGGAGTATTTGATTCGTTGAGTTAGAGAAAATTAAGAGGGCGTTTGGTGGGGATTAAAATTAGATTTTTACTAGATTGTGATAGGAGTTTTTGAAATATGTGGTTCAAAAGTTATGGGATTTTTAATAGACTGTGATAGAAATTTTTGAAATGTGTGGTTCAAAAGTTGTGGAACTCATGAAAGATGTTGTTAATATTGATTATTTGACTTTGACTTGGATTAAAATCAGATTTTAATTCGGACAAAACATGGGATAAATATGATTAGAAAGAGAAATATATGAAATATTTTTGTTAACATATTAAACATATCATAAGAGCATGTTTGGTAGGAAATAACACTATACGCAAAATAAATTAATTATGATGAGATTTGAACTTCCTTCTCTTTCCTAATCATGCAAAGTATTATCAGTTTAATATATGTTTGATAAGGTAAATTAGAATTCTTAGGTCATAATAGAAAATATAAAGAATCTAAAATTTTATCTGTAAGTAAAGTTTAATACTATGTATCAAACACGCACTAAGTGTCTTAAAATTATGGTTAATAATCATTATTATATGGTATTAATTTTTTTTCTTCTTTGAGAACTTGAAAGATAGCGGCGTACGGTGTCGAATAGCTCGTGCACTTGTAAGGTGCTAGGTTAAAATCATGAGCATGTTTGGAAAGTGTTTATAAATGTGTAAATTATAATTCAATAAAAATGTACGGTGAATAAGTAAGTAGTACTTTTGGATTCTTCAAAATGTGTGAGTAAAAAGAGGTTTGAGTGTTAATATACGTGAAGCAAATATTGTCTAATATTAATTAGGTGACATCTTGAGTTCGAAATGTTGGACAAAGTAACTTTTATTTACCTTAAGTTAAATCCCGAAGGTCATTAGTTGGAAGAAAAGGGTTAATGGAGAGTAGATTAGAAGGGAAAAAAAACCTGAAAATTGCTCACAGCATTAGCATAATGATGATTATCATCATTTCTTAAGCATACAAATGGCACGCGAAACCCTAAGACTCTCTATATCTCTTGTCTTTTTCCTCTCCACTTTAACCTACTTAGTTCCAACAACTCCCACTTTTCATCACTGATCAAAGCACCAGAAAGTTAACGCATACTGCCCATTATTACAAGAAAACGACGTGCGCACATACACACAATACACAATCCAAAGATCAATAAAAAGATAGCACTGGAGTCCAAAATTTGCTTGCAGAAAGGACCCCTCCACTCACTGTGACCAATGGGACCCTTGATTTATGATTTAAGCTTCACAAGTGCTCCAAGAAGTGTACATGATCCGTTTTTCAAGTATTTATATTCTACGACATGCATTATATTGTCTGCATTTTTTGTGGATATGATAAAACTTTTGGAGTTTCGATTCTATAATGAGTCAAATAGTAGAAGAGGGCCCCGAAGTTTTTTGAAGGGCTGGAGGAATATGGTTGGCTGGAGTTTGCTGATTGGTCTTGGGTTTCTTCAAAGTTTTCTTCTCTTTTTATCCACAATAACCTCAAGCATGATCCTCCCCATTCTTCACTATCTCTGCCTTAACTTCGTAGAATAGATGTGTAAGTTTGCTTTATCTTTGACAAGAGGGATGAATAATTGATTTCACTTTAATCCTTAAGTTGATGGAACTATTTCATCAACAAATAAATACACTGAGAAGTGGTTGACAAAAGATGAGTTAGAACCTGTACACTTTTATCCATGACGATCCCCATCAAAAGGAAATAATCTAGCTACGAGCCTAATTGAGACTGAAGTATAGGTTTAACAGTGAGTCTTAAAAATCAAGAAGCAATCCGCTTCCAATAGATCGAGCGTCGAGAATTTGTCATTTGTACGTATGAGTCACGAGTTCATGGTACAAACGGTGCCTTTCTATCTGAAATAAGATTAAGCTAGAGATGCTTTTGGATACATCAAGAGAGAGAGAGAGAAATGATCTAATG